AAGTGTTCTAACTAAACTAAAATCCATATCCAACTTAAAATTTAAAGTCATATGTTGCTTAAATTTTAAATATGCACTTTAAAATTGTATACTTTGAGATAGTATACTTCATTTATTAAAAATATTAAATAGATAAAAATGTTTTTTGTGTGTAGGGAGTGAAGGATTTAAATGACTATATCACCCTTTATGCATAGATCCTTGTTGAGATCACTTTTTTGTTAAGAACTAAGTTGCCAGGGTTCTGAATCCCCTCTTTTTCTGTCCCTCAAATACAGCAAAGTCTTTTTTTGTTTTTTATTTAAAAAAAATTTTTTTTTATTTGCAATTACTTCTTTTTTAGTTGTTGTTGGTCCTTAATTATTTATTTATTTACATTTGGTGCTAAGAATTGAACCCAGTACCTCACATGCTAGGCAAGCGCTCTGCCACTGAACCACAACCCCAGCCCTATAAGCAAGGTCTTTTTAATTTTTTTTTTTTTTGTAGTTGTGTATGAACAGAATGCCTTTGTTTGTTTATTTTTATGTGGTGCTGAGGATCAAACCCATTGCTTCTCACATGGGAGGCAAACACTCTGCCACTGAGCTGCAGCACCTGCCTAAATAAGGTCTTTGAGCAGTGTTAGTACCTGAACCGTTTTACTTGGCTAAGCCTGGGGGGGCGGGGTTGACCATTTGGGTAAGGCAATAGGATAGGTAATGGATAAAATAATTGGTAAGATTGGGAAGTCCATCTTATCAATCATCTTGTCAGTTTTTTTCTTTAATTATTTGTGCTTTTGATAATATATCCAAAATTTTTCTATAAGACTGAGTCACCTAGATTTTCTCCTGTTTTCTTTTAGACAGTCATGATTTTTATATTTTACGTTAGGTCTATGGTCCATTTTGATCTATCTATCTATTTATTTATTTATTTTTTAGTTGTAGATGGACCCAATACCTTTATTTGTTTTTATGTGTTGCCGGGGATGGAACCCAGTGCCTCTCACATGCTAGGCAAGTGCTCTACCACTGAGCCACAACCCTGGCACCATTTTAATATTTGTTAAAGGTGTAAGGTCTGTGTTTAGGTTGTTTTTGTTTTCTTTTTATATATAAACAAATATTCCAGTGTTTCTTTCCTTTCCCCTCATCAAGTACAGGGGATTGATCTCAGAACTTTACGTATGGTAGGCAAGCTCTCTATAACTGAGTTATATCTCTAGCCCTTTATAAAATTTTGTTTTGAGGTGGGATCTTGTTAATTTTTCTAGGGCTTGCCTTGAGTTTGGGGCTCTCCTGCCTCAACCTCCTGAGAATTATGTAACCATTTTTAGGTTCTTGTGCTATGTTTGGAAAAAGACATGTTTCGAAAAGACTATTTTTCTCCATTAATTGGCTTTAGGGAATTTGTGACAAAGTTATCAGTTGACATATTGTGTGGGTCTGTTGTGGATATTCCTAATGTTTTATTTATCTGTATTTCTGTCCTTTTCCTAATACCATATCACAGTGATTACTGTGTCTGTGTAGTAAATGATGAGATTTGGTAGTGTAAGTCTTTCAAGCTTTGTATTTTTCAATATGATGATGATGATGATTAATCTTCTACAGAATAATTAAAAACTAAATGCTATATAAATTTTACCTCAACAAATAATAGTAACAAATTAGTTGCAATGAAATAAATTTTAAAATTTACAATAGCTATTTTGATTAGTGGCTCCTGTAGTGAACAGTGTAGTTCTATGAATATGTTTGGTGAATTCTTAAAAGTCTAAGAAGGCAATAACCAATAGGTTCTAAACTTCTCATGGTTAGAATACATAGTTGAATATTTCTTATGCAGGTTATTTGAAGACTACACCAATGACGGTGTATTTTTCTTTTTATTATGGTTTACCTAAAAATGGGTAAGATTTTTACCAGTAATATGGAGTGCTATTAAAAGTTCCCCAAAACGTCAAAATAGATGGAATAATTATTGGCACTGTATAAGGAGCTTGTTGTGAAATGTTTAAGCCCACATTGATTTTTATCACAATCTGTAAGCACATTGCTATTCATATCTGTTGATGTATTTAGAAATGTTTGATTCACAAGATCCTTCTAGAAATCGTCACTCATAAGTGTGCATTTATGTCTTGAAAACGCGTAGAAGGTTATGTGTTGGGATAAGCAGATAGACAGTGAATGTGTAAGGATAGGCTCAAAGGAGTATCAGCACTTGTTTACTTTAGGCAGATTTAGGGAATTTGTGACAAAGTTAGAATTTCTACTGGAGGATTGTGTTGAACTTTTTGGTAATTTAAACTGATATAGGGTACCTGAATCAAAAGAAAGAACCTGAAGGCATGTGGGTTTAGTGTTGGACCTTAAAAATATATGTGCTTGGTGTTTTTTTGGTTTTCAAGTCAGAAACTGAATAAACTGAACACCATTTTATTAATAGAAAAGTTGTTATCAATCCAGCTGTGTTTTTTTGTTTTTGTTTTTGTTTTTGTCTTGATACTGGGGATTGAAGCCAGGGGTGCTTTACTACTAAGCTTATACTACCAGCCCCTTTTATTTTTTATTTTGAGAT